TAATTCCATCTATCAGAACAGCTTGGCTTTAGACTATTTGCTGGCTTCAGAGGGAGGAGTTTGTGGAAAATTTAACCTAAGTAACTACTGCTTACAGATAGATGATGAAGGAAAGGTCATAGAAGAAATCAAAGATCAAATGGGAAAAATCACCCACATTCCAATCCAGACCTGGAAAGGCTGGAACCCCGGGGGAATTATTTGGAGGATGTTTTTCAACTTTGGGGGATTCAAAACCCTCATAAGTGTTATGCTTTTGTTTTTAGGGACTTGCCTGGTTTTGCCCTGCCTGCCCTTCCCCGCCCCCACCATTGTAAAGTGTCTCCAGCCTCATTGAGGCAGCAGTTGAAAAAAACAAAGGCCTCCCATGTAATGATGCTATGGAAATATAAACCCCTAAATCAAGGTGATGCTCTTTGACCCTAGGTGGGTCCAAGGACCAAAGAGGGGAATAATGTAGCAAGGAGGAGGAACAGAAGAGAAACAGAAAGGCCTGAGTTCTGACAAAGTAGCAGCGGGGAAGGGATGGCATAGAAGAGAGATAAAACCTAAAGAATCCAAACGTGAAGAAGGTCATGTAGCACTAGGGGTAAAAAAGCACTTAGCACTAGGGTGAGGTTGCTTCTAGAACTGCATATAACCATATATGGGTTAAACCTTGTTTTTAAAAATTTTATTGCCTCTGTAACACGCTTACAAGGGTACATAACGTGAGACCCCTTTGTTCTTGGGGCTCAGCCTCTGGACATGAGTCTGCTGAGTCTGTGCTGGCCAATAAAGTGTTGCTTCCTTGCCTCAGAGTCCCATGTCTCGGTTTGAGTTTCCCATAAAAATAACACTGTTGTAGATTTTGAATTTATTGCTTTCAATAAATTGTAACATTGTGGAAAGGCACAAACATGTCTCTATGCTGAGGCCATAGCTTGCTCATAATAAATTCTTATGTCTTCTTTAGCATGTGTCCAAAATGTTGTTCACATACTTCTCATTGAAATCTAATATACATATAGAAAAGTATGCACATTATTACTGGGCCTCTTGATGACTGCTCACAAATCATTTCTCATCTGCAATACAACCAGTAAATATCCAGTCATAGAACATACAGGTATATGAGAATCACTTGGAATTTATGGGGAAGGAATAATGGAAGGTCATGTTCAGCAGTACTTCTCATCCCTGAGGCATTTTACTGGTGCATATGTGGGCTGTAATCCCACTATGTTTAGTGATGTTGGTTGGGTTGGATTCTGTGAATGAAAACCTCCTTCTTCAGGATAAGTGGTCTGTATACCACTGGACACAGGTTAGAGGGAATGCATCTGTAAGCATGGTCATCAGCCTATTGTTGCCAAGAGGAGAGCTTTCTTGAGAAGGAGAAAACTCCTAGAAATCTGAGGAGAGAAGTGGAAAAGAAGAACCTTGATTCAAGATCATCTTCTGAATTTTGGACCAAGACAAACCTACAGGTACATCCAGCCATACACTCTCCTGAAATGGAACATTTACAATCTCTTTCACTGCTCTAGCCTCTTTAAACTCAGCTTCTCATGCTTGCTATATGAGGTTAATAGCAATATTTTTCATTACAAAGTAATAAAAGCAAAGAAGGTTAGTGATGCACTGAAAAGTCATACAAGTCAGCGTACGTCTTTTGACTTCCAGTCAAGAAGCCCTATGTATGAAGCATTGCAGTGATTTTTCCTGTGGAAAAGATAAAAGTTCTAGAGGTGGGAGCCCCCAAGTTTTCTACACAAATACTTGGATATACTTGCCTTAACTTATTTCCCAGTTGCACAAACTGTGTATTCTGTCCTTCAAATCCTCTGCCATTAGGTCACACACCATGGCTCATTCCTTCATCCCACTCTGCCCTTCTTCCCTATTTACAACATTGATGCAGCCTCTGCTTTCACCTCCTATTGAGAGATGTCAGGCTGAAGTTCTCTCTTGTGTACATGGGGGTGTTTATTCCCCCATGGACATTTGAAGGAGTGGTGCTCCAAGCTTTTTCTCCTGAGCTTTCTCACCTCAGGGGCCAAGCTCAAGTTTCTTAAGTTATTATGCAAAATTATGATAAGATCTGTGTGCAGTGATTCCAGGTCCTTCAGGGAAAGATTCCCTAGGGCACATGATTCTGTGTCAGATAATGTTATAAAATCAGTGCATTGAATCCCTAAGTCATATTTATGAATGGATGGTTTTGTGTGGGTACTGCTGATAAAGTAGCATGAAAATTATACAATAGAGTCCGTAAGTAAGCAAGTGCAGCCTCTGCTGTGTGCAGATTAGTGGGTTTTCCTTATAGATCTCCTCACTGATGGGTGGAGATGCTGTAGAAGAGTTGCCTCAGTGCTCAGGGATCACCAGGCACAGCTCAGTCACTGGAATCGGTAGACATTTGGACTACTTTTGACTTGTCATTTCAGAAGAAAGTATGTCAATGTTATCAGTTACAAGTTCTTTGCATGCACTAATCATCAAATCCTTGAAGTTTGCAACTAAGCATCTTGGTCAGTAAGTTCAACACTTTCCTCTTTCTATTGGCAGGGTTAATCCTAAAGAACACAGTGTCCTGATTCAGTAGTACTTGTCAAAGGGTTATCTAAGACATCATTAGGGTCATTTATGCCATAGAGAAAAGGGAGCACTCATGGTCCTTCATTCTTTATCACTTATAAGCTCTTTTTTTCTTTTTATAGTCTATTATTTTAAATATATTTTTTGTTTTTAATTGACATAAAGTAACAGCACATATTTAAAAAAATTGTATTGTGCTGAGGTGGGTGTACATTGTGGTATTTACAAAAGTTCTTACAGTGTATCAAATGTATCATACTTGAATTCACCCCTCCACCATTCTCCTTTAGTTCCCTTCCCCCATTTCTAGAATATTTTCAACAGATCCTTCACCTTTTCCCCACCTCTTCCCCCTTCCTACTTGTACCAACCCTTTCCCCCGAACCCAGGCAGGATCTGTCATATTCTCCTGTTCTCCAATTTGGTATAAGAAAAAAAGAAAACTAAAACAATGTCATTTTTGCTTGTTTAGGATAGGGAACTTCTGTGGCACTTCCATGTATATGGCACAGTGCCACTTTGTGGCACTTCCATGTATATACATATCATAGCCCAATCTGGTTCATCTCTATTTTTCTTCTTTCTCCCTTAGTCCCTTTCTTATAGTGGTTTCAACTGGTTTTTAAAATTCTACATTCATTCTTGTATAGAGAGTACATCAACCATAATCACCTTCTTAACTTCCTTCTTTTACCCTCTTCTTCTTGTATGTGACCTCCCCTGTGACCTGTAGTGTGACTTGTTTTTCTTAATATTGTTGTATTTGTATTAGGTCTATATTCCATATATGAGAGAAAACATGCATCCTTCTGATCCTGGCTAACTTCACTTAAGGTGGTGTTCTCCAGTTCCATTCATTTATCTGCAAGTGACAAAGTTTCATTCTTCTTTGTGGCTGAGTAAAATTCCATTGTGTATAAATACCACATTTTCTTGATCCATTCATCAATAGTGGGGCATCTTGACTGTTTCCATAGCTTGGCTATTGTGAATAGCGCTGCAGTAAACATGGGTGTGCAGGTGAATGGCACATGTTTATGAGGTATCCATATATGTATACAATATGTGAAGATCAGATAACTTGGCATGCCTACCATCTCATGCATTCATCATTTCTTTGTGTTAGTATCATTTATAGTATCTTTCCTAGATATTTTGAGATTTATTTGGAATGTATTTTGCTGTCTACCCTACTTTCCCTCTGTGCTACTAAAGATAATTTAAATTGGACTGGAGATATAGCTCACTGGCAGAGTGCTTACCTAGTATGCTCATGGTCAGGGTTCAGTTACCTGTATAGAAAAGAAAAGATTATTTTTTTCAATTATAGATTTTTATTGAGTCCTATAAAATCTTCCAGTTTTTTAAAGAACACATTTTCCAAATTTTAAAAGCCATCACTGAATACACATTTGTGAATACACACATTTGTGTATTCAGTATACACATTTTATTGTCATTAGAAATGTGTTTTAAATATTTGTTGCTTAAGACCCTATTTTACTAATTTTAGGAGATTTTTGACATTTAAATTATATATTATTATTTAATACATATATTTGACTTTAGTACATAACTATGATCCAACTCAGGAATAAACCAACTTGTCCCCTACTGTTTGCTGATGTCCTATAGATCTGTACTCATGATAACATGGAATGTCTTCGGCTCCCTTTGTCTTCTGTCCTTCCTTGTTCTTCATCTTCCCTGGTGAAATTTCTTGGGTTTTCATAACATCACCTAATGGCCAGTAGGCTCCGTTCTAGTCTTATGGTATCATCAGGGACCTTTTGTCTTAAGTCAGTCAGTGTTCCTCCTTGTACCTTCCTTTTATCACCCAACAGTCTTTCCACCAAGGCATCCTGTGGTTGTGGTTGGTAACTTTCCCTGCCATTCATCTCACTAGTTCCCTCATTCAAATTTCGAAACCACTTGTTCTTACTTTTCAATGGCTTCCCCATTGTGTTGTGCACTAGCCTCACTCTTTTGTAGACCCCTTATTCCTTAAAGATAGTGTATATTTTTCTGATTTCTTTTCTTCATCAATGCTAGAAACATTTATTGACCAGGGCAGGAATTGTTGTTGGAATTGTAGCCAAGGAATAAACAAAATCTTTTCTCTCTAGAAGATAAGTTCTAGTGTGGGAGTTAGGTTTTTATACTTGGATATGTAATGTCAGTTGATGGATTTTGTTTTTTTTCAGACCAGATTTCTAAACCAGAATTCTTCATTTCTTCCTTCATATTTGAAAGATCCATTAATTCAAATTTTATTTTTTCACAATTTTCCAAAATTTCCAATGCAACTCCTTTTTTTAGAATGGAGTCCTTTTTTTCATGGTCTGTCAGAATTTCTGGAGTGAACCCAGGATGGCTCTTGCAGTTATCAGATTATAACTTTTTCTTTACATACTGTGTCCCTCAGAAAAATACAGGGCTGCAGTACTGAGATGAGAAAGCAAAATGAAAGCTCTGTGGTTGAATTCATACTGTTGGGCTTTTCTAATTTTCCTGATCTCCAAGAACAGATGTTTGGTGCTTTTTTGGTGATTTATCTGATGACCCTGGTGGGAAATACCATCATTATGGCTGCCATCCTGCTGGACCAGTGTCTCCATGTCCCCATGTACCTGTTCCTGCAGAACTTATCCATGGTGGAAGTGGCTTTCAGTGCAACCATCATGCCTGAAATGTTGGTGGTCTTGTCCACCAAGAAAACGACCATCTCCTTTGCTGGCTGTTTTGCACAGATGTATTTCATTCTTCTTTTTGGTGGGACTGAATGTTTTCTCCTGGGAGCAATGGCTTATGACAGATATGCTGCAATCTGCCATCCTCTGACCTACCCGGTGATTATGGACAGAAGGGTTTTTGTGAAATTAGTGATGTTCTCGTGGGTCTCGGGGATCATGGTGGCTACTGTGCAGACAACATGGGTATTTAGTTTTCCCTTTTGTGGATCCAATGAAATCAATCATCTCTTCTGTGAGACTCCCCCAGTACTGGAGCTTGTATGTGCAGACATCTTCCTGTTTGAAATCTATGCCTTCACAGGTACTATTTTGATTGTCATGGTTCCCTTCCTGTTGATCCTTTTGTCTTACATTCGAATTCTATTTGCTGTTTTGAAGATGCCATCAAACACTGGGAGGCAAAAGGCCTTTTCAACCTGTGCCTCTCATCTCACGTCAGTCACCCTCTTCTATGGCACAGCCAGTATGACTTATTTACAGCCCAAATCCAAGTATTCACCAGACATCAAGAAAGTGATGTCATTGGCTTACTCTCTGCTTACACCTCTGCTGAACCCACTTATCTACAGCCTGAGAAACAATGAGATGAAAAGGGCTTTAATGAAATTATGGCAAAGAAAAGTGGCTTTACACACAGTCTGACTTTTTGAGAGACCATGTAATATTCACACAGTGCCCAATTATGTTCAATATGAATTTATTAACTGGTAAAAGCATATCATATCTTTTTAGAGTTTGTTTATTTTCTTGAACTTTCTAGATTTGAAGGTATTCAAGGCATCCCTCTCTGTTAGTAGTGCAGTAATTTGTTTTTCAAAGATATATAACGCTCTATAACACATGATACAACAGTGTATTCATTCATTCATTTCTCTATTAAGGACATTACTTCATTACTAGAGTATTGTCAGACTATGCTCAATAAATATCTTGTTTCAATATGTTCATGTATTTAATGATTTTATTACTGTGTGATTTTTTTCATGAAAGGGGGACTGATGAGATTAATAGTTTTTAGTTTATATGTTCTTAATAACTATTGAAGTCATTTTTCAAAGTGTTTCTAATTACTTGACTGACCTGAAGGTCCACTTAATCTCCCTCACAGCTAGAACTTCAAAAGACTAAGAAAGTAATGAGATTTTTATTTCTGTAAAGAAAATCTGTTCAATGAAAGGTTACATGGCTCACGCCTGTAATCCTAGCTATTCAGTAGGCAGAGATTAGGAGGATCGTGGTTTGAGGCCCGCGTGGGCAAATAGTTTGCGAGACCCTATCTTGAAAATATCTATCACAAAAAAGGGCTGGTGATGTGGCTCAAGGTGAAGGCCCTGAGTTCAATCCCCAATATCCCTCCCCAAAATATTTATTTTGTGAGTTCAAGATAGTTCTAGTTTATGATTCACACATATTATAATCTCACACTGGATTTCCCTCGGTATTTTTAGAAGTACTTATGTAGTGTTGGTGGTCAGAGAACTGTATGAGAATATTCACTAGGCAGAATTAGTATTGTTTTTCAGTTATAGATCTTTTTTTTTTTTTGCAGTAGTGGGCTTTGAACTCAGGGTCTCATGTTTGATAGGCAGGCACTCTACCAGTTGAAGCATTCCTCAAGTCCCCAGACTTTCAGTAGAGACTTTTGTTTCATTTCCATTTGTAGAGTAAAATGCCCTCATTTTATTTATAAATAATAAATTATTCATTTCTATTGTTATTTATGGAGGGGAAAACAATATTAACTAGTTGTGTCTCTTTTCTGAATTCCTTGAGTCATATTACTAAGTGTGTAACCCTTGCAGAATGAATAATGTCACAGATTGGAACATTTCTCACTTGTGTCCAGTTTCTATGCTGCTTCTGTAGAGTGGTGAGACTCCTGTTTATTGAGTCTGCATTACATGATCTCTACTGCTCTTAATTTATTCTCCATGGATGGCAGTAAAGGAATAAAACACTGTCTTTGAAGTGGGGACAGTGTGACTCCTGAATTGTCTAACTGATCTTCAGATTTTTACTTGCCAGTTACAAGAAATGAAGCCTTTCTCTCTCGCTCGCTCTCTCTCTCTCTCTCTCTCTCTCTGTGTGTGTGTGTGTGTGTGTTTGTGTGAATACTGAAAGACTCCCTTCTCTCAAACTTCATTTTAATGATTGCATTCAGCATTATGTGCAGTTCAACACAATTTAAGAACAATCATATAATTCCTGTATCCTTACATATATCACTCCCTCACTGACCCTCTATATTTCAACACAGAATCATTTCAGTGACCAGTGCATTTCCTTCTGTGGTATATTATTCTATGTCATTCCTGAAAGCTCTTATCACTGAACTATTATGCTTGAAATTGGACTTTTGGACCCTATGACCAATCTCCTTGGCTCTTACATGTCAGCTCTAGCATTCACCCTTATTCACCAAATAAAGAGACATTAATGCTAAAGTGCAGAGAAAGAATATTTATTACATGGTCAATGAGAAAAGACAAAGTAAGCACTCAGTCAATTTTAGCCATTTGGGAGGTACAGACTTGAGCTTTACTTTTGAATAGACAAAGAATAAGGGGAGGGGATGAAAGGTATATATAAACTGTCCCAGTTATAGGTGTGGCCTGGTTGTTCATGATTTCAGTTCAGGTTCTCTGACAGTTCTGAAGAAGTTCTTATCACTGTCATCACTTGAAGGGAGCACTCTTGTTCCACCATGCAGGCTCACTTTATAGGCAGTTGATCTTATTTGGAGGAGTGGTCTGTCCTGCAAGGCTCCACTCTCACTTAGAGGAAGTTTCAGTCCCTTGTGATAAAGATGTAATTGATTGATTCCTGTCTTCACTTGATTCCAAAGTGGTTGCAGGAGAGAATGACTCAGAGCAAAGGTCAAAAGGGACAAAATGGAGTTAACTTTTCTCTTGTTTTTAGTTAACTTATGGGCCAAAGTAAGGAGTCAGTGCTTTGCAGCAAAAGTTGTTTAAGTACCTCTTACATGTTGTGCCAGTAGTTGACTGCACATCTGTCTAGGATGAGGTCCTCCAGGCCAACAGGGTTGTAAATATCCACTTTCTAACTGCATTTTATGACTGCTGAGTACCATCTATGCTAGTTGGGGTCTCTAATTATCAGACATTGAGATGCCCTTAGAGTGCAAATGCCTTTGAAAGGAAGAAAAAGACTAAAGTGGACCAAGGTGGCCTGACAGTGTCTTCTCCCAGCCTAACAGGGAGCTTTGGAGTATCCATTAAGGACACTGTGATGGGCACGAAAAGCTAGATCACTGATCAGTCTTTGACTAGACCCTTTCAAATAAGACAGTGACCTCAGATGAAAAGCTGAGGCTGATCTTAAAGGAGCTCACAGAAATGGATTAATCATATCTTCGTAACTATGCAGCAAGTCTTTTCTTACAAGAGAATCTCAGCATTGCATCCCAATTTCTGTCACAATGTAGCTAAAACTGTGCTATATGGATTCTTTAAATTCAGAGAGGGAAAGGATACATTTAGAGTGACACACCAAGGCTCTATCAGATGGAAATAAGTGCCTGTTAACATAGATTAGGTCTGCAACTACTGGAGATATAACTAAAACATCTTCTGCTAGATTTAGACACGTGTCAATACAATTTACAAAGAAAATTGTAGAAGTTGTTATGAGTCAGGGCTGGATGCTTGCCTCAAACAGTAGATTTCCTACCTAGCAAACAGGAATTCCTGATTTCAAACCTCACTACTGCCAAAAGTAATTAATAATAAAAATTCAATATACATTATTTATTGTTGCTAATTGAATTGGCATTATGTATCATTGTAGCATGGCTTAATGGGAACTCTAGGAACATATAACAAGAATTAAATAAGCCCAAATTGGAGTGCTGGCACATGGGAGACTGAGGCACAAAGATTGCAATTTAAGGTCAGCCTGGGATGCATAGTGAGACCTTGTCTCAATCAAACAAAGAAAAAAAAAACAATGGGAAAAAAGAAGGAAATAAATAAGTATAGTTTCAAATTCTGGTCCTATCACCTTCTAGTTCTTTAAAAGTTACATATACTTGCCAAGCTTTATCTTACCTTTTCCTATAAAAGGATAAGCATAGTGATGATACTATCTCTTATAGTGATAATGTAAGGATCTGTCATAATAACAGTATTTGTGGCTTAGCACCATTTTGTGTATGAGTTGTGTTAGTTTTCTCAGGCTGAAAAAGGAAGAGGATCCTCTGAGCCCAGGAATGGCGGCCATGCTGTCAATACAGAGAGAGAATCATGTCTTTAATAAACAAAAAACAAAAACAAACAAAACAATAACAATAATAGGAAGGAAGCAAAAGAAAGAACAGTATCACTGTTATAGTACACATAAAAGTCATCATAATTTGAAGCTCTTCAAAGGCAGGTGTTGATTCAAAGAGTTTTACCATTCTTTCTAATCCTCACAAATACAGTTTCATAACCCATTCTTTGAGTCAATCCTTTGACAGTTTTAAACTTGATAGACATGAATTATACATATACTGGATATTTTTTGTTAGGTCCTTAAGTCTGTATTTTCACTCTAATTATTTTAATTCTATTCACTTCCATTTTATTTTTCATGGCTATTCTGTTTTCTTTTTAGCACTGTCTTTCTGCAGAGCATTTTTCTTTATAAATGCTGTGATATGAACATCATATTCGTGTTTTTTTTAAAATTTATTGCCTGCCTTGGACTCCGCAATTATTTTACCATATTGTCCTTGAACATGGGTTTTTAGCTCTGTTATATTTCAGAGAGATATTTACTTCATAAATTTTAGAAATCCTTAGTTGTATTTTTGGTGTCTATTTCTGTTCTGTACTATTTTAATGAATGCCCTTTTTGTGTCTATTGCTTTTTTAATCCTGTTCTTCCTTTTCCTCTTCAGTTTCTGTGTATTACTATGATGTGAGATCTCTTTGAATCATCTCCCATGTATGAAAAGTATGTATTTTTTTCTTGAGCATTTATCTGCAATATTATTGTTTGGAGAATCCAGGCCTAGTTTCATGGTATCAAGAATGATCCATGATTAGAAGACTTTACAAACTTCTCACTCAGTCTTGAGCTAGGCAGAAATAATGAATTTCAATCTGCATTTTGTAAGGTAACCAGACAACTTGGATCCATCTATTGTAGCCTATAGGTCAGAAGACATCTAGATTCTTTATTCTGCATGGAAGAATCCAGGCAGGACATGTAGATATAGTAAGGGATATAATGAAGTTTAGTATAGGTGAGGATTGTGGCATGGTTCCTTTCAGGTGGAGTAGAAGAAGATGGGGGCAGACTAGAGGAACTAGCTTTTTTGTTTTAAGTGCAAGTGAGAGGAAAATATCTGGGTGAGTCCCATGGGTCAGGCTAGGGTGATTGACAATTTTGATTCACTCTGTGCATACACTTAAGTTGGCTCGTAGGTATTTTAATTACATGCATGGGGAATGACCAATATTCATGTTTTAAGCAAGGGATTTTCAATTGAAAAGAACTCTGCCACTAGAAAAGGTCACATGGTACCTGAATCCCAATGATTTCCTCTCCCTACATAGCCTGCCTCAGTTTACCCTGAGAGACAATATCCCCTAAAATTCTTTGAGTTTGCTAAGGAAGGAGGGTCATTTTCTGCATCT